TCTGGCCCACCAGGCCGCCACTCCGTCGCGAAGGGGTTGCTGTCTGATGCGCGCGGCTTGCTCTACGGGCACGACTGCGACCTCGACCCCGCGCCTCTGGAGCGCGAAGGTGGGGGCAGCCCGTGATGCACTGAAATGGCAGCTTCGGTTACCCCAGCCCATCGGGCGAAGCAGCTGCTGACTGGTAATATGTGCTGGCGACCTGCAGCGAAAGCGAGGGGCTCCCGCACAGGTCGCCAAACGTCGCGAAAAGAGTGTGAGTGCCAAGAGGCTTGAGCCGAGAGCGACGCCCACAGGGATGAGGGAAGAGCGAAGGACGGCAGGACGGCATCAGCAGCGGCAGCGGAGCAGGCGAGGTCATCCTGATCCCCAGCCGTGCTGGGCCCCCCGGCCCTTGGAGGCTCGACTGAGGTGGGCTGCTGATCCCCCGGCTCGACGCCAGCGTCGCCCCCTCTCGAAGCGGGCCCCGAATTGCGGTTACAATCTGCATTCAAATTACTTCTGAATTGAGGGGCGTCGCTGCTTTCTGGAGCGCTGCCGAGACCGCAACTCTGACCCATGCTGAGAGAGCTTACTGGGTGGAAGCACGACCCCGAAGCCCACGGGCACTCTTCTTCCTCCAGCCCCTCGAACTCCACATGGCCAAACTCCCGCTCTGGAGGTTCGGGGCCGCCCGCGGGCCCAGGCTCGGCACTGGCGGGGTCAGAAGTTTCGGACCCTCGGGAAACAAACATCTCGGAACCCTCGGACTTGTCCCTGGCGAGCAAGTCGGAAAAAAGTGTGTGGCACTCGTCGCGCAGCCGATCCTGCGCTAAACTGACGCGCTCCTGTCGAGCGCGCGCCTGACTGGCCTTAGACCCCTCCGTAGGTCGGGCCGACGGACGCGGGACCTGCGGCAGGCGCGTGGCCGAAAGAAGGGAGCGAGAGAGGAGTTGTTCCCTTGTCCCGTGCAATATGAGCTCTAAGGCACAGCGAGGGCTCCAAGGGGCATCGGTTCTGGCTGACAAGCTGTGAATATATGGGGTCCACTTTCACACGCCATCAGGACATCGATATGTTAGCTACCTGCGCTCCCAACGCATGTGCATTCGATATCGGCCTGACGGATGTGGCCGCGCACTCTTCTCACAAAAACAGAATGTCTAAAAGCTGAGACGTCTTGGTTGACCCCCCCGAGCACGATCCAGGGCAACTGCACTGACTGCAGAAGTGCGCCGAGACGCGCATACCTTTGTGCTTTGGCTCCTGAGAAGCCGAGCGAGGGATGAGCATAAAGAAGAATGAGAATGACATTGTAGCCTTGCATGTGCATTACTGCAGGGAAGAAGCCGTCCAACGAGCTGGACCCGTCAGCACAGAAAGCGGCAGCCTCAGACGATGTCCCGAACAGCCTATGAACGTTGCGACGGCCAGGCGCGAGAAGGACTTCCCCTCCTTCGTTCGCCTTGGCCGCCCCCGAGGCCGAGCTGCCCCGACCTGTGCTGCGAGCTGCGTTGCCCAGATACTTCCACCGCAAAGATCGAGACTTCCTCGCCCACTTGCGCTCTGGAGTGGCACCCCGCGTGAGTCTCGACCACCCCCACGAGGTCGTACTGGTTTAGAAACTGCGGACACCCGACGTGGCCCCAAGGCTTGGGCCCCGAGCAGGCGATGTTGCTGAAGAACATGGTGACGACGCTGTCGGCCGAGGCGGCCGCTGCATCAGGTACTGCTTCATGAGGTGGCGCGCCTGCAGCAGCATCAGGAGCTCCTGCTGGCGCCGACGGCGCGCCCCCTGGCGATGCCGAGGGTGCCGCGAGGCCCTCGGCGGGAGCGCGCGCTCAGCCCTGCTGGCCAGAGGCGCCAGCGGCGCCCCCTGCCGCAGGCGCCGCCCCGCGCGCGTCCTCGGCGGCTGCCTCCGCTGCCGCCCTCGCCTGCTTGATGCGTTCCATCTCGGCGGTGACGGCCTCCTCGGACGGGCTCGCTGCGGCGCCCGCCGCTGCCGACGGCGCCGCGGCTGGGGGGGGCCCTGCCGCGGCCGCGGCCGCTGGGCCGCTGCCGTCGGCTGCAGGCGCAGCCGCCGCGCCGCCGCCATCCTTGGTGGCCTGCGTCTTGCGCTTCTTCTGCATGCGCTCGTGAATGGTGCGCTTCATCTCGCTGATCTTTGCCTTCCAACTTGCAATGTCGGCTGGCTTGCTGGCCAGATCCTCCTTCGTGGCGGCCAGGTCGGCCTCAAACTTCCTCAGGGCGTCCTTCTCAGACTGATCGCACTCCACGCTGTCCAGGCTGGAGAAGAACTCCGTGTCCCAGGTCGGGCCCACGAGCTCCGTCTTGGACGTGGTGGCGCCGCCGCCGCAGTCGCTCGGGCCCGCGTTGATGCCGAGCTCCTTCGCCAGCGCGGTGGCCGCCGACTTCTTACTCAACCCTGCCGTCGCGAGCGTCCTGAGAGCCTCCGCCTCCTTGGCGAGCGCGCGCTCCAGGTTCTCGCGGATCTTCTTCGCCTGTGTCGCCGCCTGCTCGTATCGAAGGGAAGCGCCCTTCCAGGCGCCCTCCGCCCTCCGCACCGCCTCGGCAGGGCGCTCGGCCAGCGGTGCTGCCGACGGCTTGGCCGTCTGCTCCGCCTGCCGCGCCTGCTCCTGCAGGCCCTTCTTCACCTCGGGGTCCGCCGCCAGCTCGATGGCCTGCGCGAGGGGGGCTCGCGACCGTGGGCCGAGCCTGCATCGCGCCCTCCAACTTGGGCGCCTCCTTGAAATGCTGGCCCTGGGACTTCCGAGGCTTGCGCAGCTTCACCTGGGAACCGCACTTGCGACGCTGCATCTGCGACTGGCGTAGCACGTCGTTGTATTCACATGTGTGGCAACGCTTGCACGTCGACCACTCCCGTGCCATCGCTGTCTGGTGAACCTCTCTTCGCCAGCGGGACTGACCACAAACGTGTGTGTGTGTGTGTGGGAAGCCCGCTGCCCCTCAAGCACTGCGCGGAAGTGAGAGGCCTCGGCTCTTGGCAAAATGCACTCGAGCCAATATGTGCTTGAGAGGAGGAGGAGGGGGAGGAGGAGGAGGAGGACTAGGACTAGGAGGCTGAGGCGTGGCGGGGGCGGAGGGGGCAGATGCAGAGGCCGAGGAGGTGGGCGAGGGGGGGTGGAGGCGGTGGAGCTGCAACCGGTGGAAGTGCATTTCGTGACGCGACGTAGCACCCCGCAGATGTGGACCAGAGTGAAATGGCGGTGGGGACTTAGGCAGACTGCGAGGCTCGGAATGAGCCCGCCGAAGGTACCTATTTCTTTACAAATCAGACCACGAGCCCGCCGCAGGTGCCGATTTTTCCGTTAAAGCAATGAGGGTGTGTCGCGGGTGGGTCGCGGAATGGGTCGTGGGCCGGCCGGTCGCGGTCTGGGTCGCGGGTGGGTCGCGGGTCGGTCGCGGGTGGGTCGTGGGCGGGTCGCGGGCCGGGTCGCGGGCCGGGTCGCGGGTGGGTCGCGTGTGGGTCGCGGGGTGGGTCGCGGGTGGGTCGTTGGTGTGTCGCGGGTGTGTCGCGGGTGGGTTGCGGGCCGGGTCGCGGGTGTGTCGCGGGTGGGTCGCGGGTGGATCGCGGGCCGTATTGCGGGTGGGACGACGACAGCAAACAACGAACAACGAATCAAAATCAACAAACAACGCAACAAAAGCCGTAACAACAGCAACAAACACATGAACAACAACACCAACAACGATTATTATTATTACTACAACAACAACTATTATTTTTCTTAATATTGCTACTACTGTTATTGCTATTGCTACTACTACTAATAATACCACCACCACCACTACGACTACGACTACTACGACTACTACTACTACTACTACTACTACTACTACTACTACTACTACTACTACTACTACTACTACTACTACTACTACTACTACTACTACTACTACTACTACTACTACTACTACTACTACTACTACTACTACTACTACTACTACTACTACTACTACTAGACTACACTACTACTACTACTACTACTACTACTACTACTACTACTACTACTACTACGACTACTACTACTACTACTACTACTACTACTACTACTACTACTACTACTACTACTACTACTACTACTACTACTACTACTACTACTACTACTACTACTACTACTACTACTACTACTACTACTACTACTACTACTACTACTGACTACTACTACTACTACTACCTACTACTACTACTACTACTACTACTACTACTACTACTACTACTACTACTACTACTACTACTACTACTACTACTACTACTACTACTACTACTACTACTACTACTACTACTACTACTACTACTACTACTACTACTACTACTGCTACTACTACTACTACTACTACTACTACTACTACGTTACTACTACTGTTACTACTACTACTACTACTACTACTACTACTACTACTACTGCTACTACTACTACTACTTCTACTACTACTACGACTACTACTACTACTACTACGACTACTACGACTACTACGACTACTACTACTACTACTACTACTACTACTACTACGATTACAACCACATCAATAACAGCAACGACGGCAACAATAACAACAGCAATTACGTAGACAAGAACAGCAACAACAAGAGTAAACACAACGATCCGCATCGGGAAATCTATTGTCAGGCACGCGCCGATGGACAGTGAACTACCGTTCGGCCCCCTCACTCTGATTATTGCTTTAATCACTTCGCCGTGTGTGTGTTACACATACAGCCAGACGTGGACAGAAAGAGAGGGAGGTGAAGAAAGAGAGAGAGAGAGAGATACAGAGACTGAGACCAAGAGAGAGGGGTGGATAGAGAAATAGAATGAGAGAGGGAGAGAGAGAGAGAGAGAGAGAGACAGAGCCAGAGTGAGAGATAGAGGATAGAGAGAGAAGCACAAATCATAGTGAGCGAGAGAGAGAGAGAGAGAGACAGAGAGACAGAGAGACAGAGGGAGACAGAGAACGACACAGAGAAAATGGGAGAGAGACAGAGAGACAGAGAAGGACAGCCATCCAGAAAGACAGAGATGGGGCCGTCCTCTGTGCCTGTCGTCTTTGTCGTGTCCTTTGTTTTCCTCCCTCGTGTCTGCACCCCGCTTTGCTTAGCTGCGCCTCCAGGGTTCCCTCTTTTCGTCGTCGTCGTGCCCCTCCTCTCCCTCCTCCCCGCCCTTGGTGGCCTATTGGTGCCTCTTGGGTGCCTCTCGCGTGCCCCGTCTTGCTTGTCTGGTTTTTCCAATTCGCTGAATGCGACGCGTGGGCGTCCATCTCGCTTTGTCGCCTCCGTCGTCGTCTCGTCTTCCCTTCTCTCTGTCTTGTGTTGCTGCAGTCGCTGCCTTGCTCCCCGCTTGGCGCTTTCCAGGTCCGTTGCGCGCCACTCGTTTGCGTTCTTTACACTCGCTCGCCTTGGCCTGTCCCCTACCTCGGGAGGACACCGCTTTTGTTCGAACGCAGTCTTCAAGAGCACGCACGCCTACTGTTCGAGCTGGCCCAACACAGCAATGCGTTGCTGTACCTGTCGTTGATCCAACGCCGTGGAGGAGGGAACGTATGCGTATGTGTGTGTGCGTGTGAGGGTGTGTGTCTTGTGCGCGCGTGTGTGCGTGCGTTCGTGCGTGCGTGTGTGTAGTGCGTCTTGCCTCCTCCACCATTTGTTACATGTCCTGCCTCAGGCGCCATCATCCGCATGTATGCCGCAACCCTCGAAGAGGCGATCGCAGGCTGAGTCTCATCGCACATAGTCCACGGCCCTTGCAAGGAACAAGGTGCCACCTTCGCAGCCTGTGCGCCCCCTCCAGAAGACTTCACCACAGAAGTACCTTTACAAGAGCGGTGAGGAGACCATGAATGGGTGGGAGGAGGGGGAGTCGACGGGGGGGGAGGATCGCATGGGCGATCAGGAAGCGCAGTCTGTCGTTCGCGATGCCACGGGCCATCGCCTGAGCCGCATTCGAAGGTGGCCATCCGCGACTCGCCGCGCCCGCCGTCCCGCTCGCATCAATCGGCTCGGCGGCCTCTTTGCGACCCCCTTGCGACCCCCCTCCCAGTTGCGATCCCCGTTTTGGGGCCCCGAGGGGAAGGAGGAAGTGGGTGGATGACAGGGAGGAAGGGAGGGAATGATCACGAGGAGGAGGAGGACGACCACGACGTCGTTCTCCTCTTCCTCCTCATCCTCCTGGCCGTTGTGGGAAGCGCAGGGTCTTTGCAGTCCATCCGATCTATCCTTGGTTCAGCGGGCACGCGCTGTGCTTACGTCCAACCAGAATGGAAGAAGAAGCAGCTGGCTAAACTTGAACTTTGGAGATTCGCCCGGATTTTCTGGATCGGCGCTCGACACCCCACACTTTTGCGCGAAGCGCACCAGGAGCGGTGCCGGAGGCGCTGCCAGGGGGGTCCAGCGCCGAACCAAGAACTCCACACGCGCCTCCGAAGATGTTTATGCCGTGTTTCCTCTTCTGTGGCGCGTTCCAGGCCGGGTTGGTGGCCATGTCCCCGCGAACCCTGGCAGCACACGCCCTCAATCGCTCTCTAGCGCGGCTCGCCCTGCGCAGCTCAGGCCCAGGAAGCGGCCAAGCGCCTGCCACACGGACCTCCGTCGTCGTGATTGCTTCACGGTGCGAGCCGTGCAGGGCTCTCGGCCCGATCCTCAGCGCAAGTCTCTCGCCGCGGGTCGCCTGCCGATTGTCCCGGGGTCCATCGCGGGCCATGGAGCGTCCAGGGGCCGGGCTCTGAGAGGGCGGCCGCCGTGATTGTCTCAGGACGCCGGAGATCTGGCCAGCTTCCGTCCTCGCCTGCGCTCGGCTGCCGCTTCTATCCCCGCGGTTCATCGACCATCCTGAGGGCCAGGTCCCCCAGGAACTCGACACAGGCAGTCCAGAGGCCAAGGCGCAACCCACAGAACAGGCCAAGAAACACAGCCGAGTTTGACTGACTATCCTGGGGCCTCTGGAGGGCCTGTTTGGTGGTTCACTGGGCCCCACCCCCTGGCTTTTTGTGGTTGGTGGCCGACCGACCACGGTGCGATCATTGCCTGCACGGTTCCCAGGCTTCCGACGGCTCCATCTTTTCGAGCCGCTGGCTCCCGGACCTCCCGACCCGTTCCCCGGTGCCAGCTTTTTGTCCTCAGTCGTTTCTCAAGTAAATTGGGGGCCCAGAGGCGGCCTGGGGATGCTGAAAACTGTGACCCCTGCGATGTGCTCGATTCGCCAGAAGCCTGGGCCTGTATCCACGCCAGTTCGCGCTCGCGCTTTCGGCCAGCAGCTGGTCCACTGCCGCCCCCGTGCCGGTCGCCCCAGCTGAAGGGCACAGCCGCCACGGGCGGCCAAGGAACCTCTGAGGCCAGCTGACGTCGCCAAGGAGCATCTGACCAGCACCACCTGTGGAACTCAATTGCTCGCCAGCAGGGCTGGATCCCGACCTCCACTCCCGGCTTCGGGATTTCAGAAGTACCCAGACCCATCCCCGTCGACAGCACCATGTTGAATCACCGCATGGCCTCCCAAGCAGCCCGTCGCAAATCATTTGATATGGGTGGGCCTGTCGGGATCCGAATGAGTAAGGGAACAACGCACATAACCCAGCGGGGGTCCATCGTTGGAGGTGGTCATTTCTCTTGGTTGCTACAATTCTGATTGTCTTGAATGTATTTTTACTCTGTTCAAGCTGGCCGTGCAGACTCGTTGTGTTTTGTCTCTGCATTTGCAGCGTGCCTTGTATAGCAAGAGCACGGCAATGTCGGCGGTATTTCACTTTGGTGCGCAGCATGGTTCTACCCTGGCGCACCCTGGCGTGTATTGACCGTAACCTCTAGCAGCTTATTTTTCATTTTGTCGATCCATTGCGGCTGAGGGTGACGCACAGTTGGGGTGCCAAAAGATATTCCACTGATGCCCACAAAGCGGTCTATCACGGACACCGTTCGATCTGGGTGATCGTTGTGGCCGTCGTTTCCACGACGGTGCTTTGGACCATCTCTGTGCATTGTATGTCTCCCGCCTTGTTCTATATACTCATCCTCGTCATCCGATTCGTTTGTTTCCCCTCTTCGGTGTCACTCTCCTGATAATCAGTTCAGACGCTTGACGTCACAGACCGTCTTGCCCTCGCTCCCCCCCCGCCTCCCCTCCCCCGCCTCCCCTCCATGGCCCTCGGCCTACTCGTCCCTCTTCCCATCCCCAACTTCCCTCTCGCCCTACCCCCCTCTTGCTCCCCATGCCTCCCGTCTCTCCCTCCTCTTCTAGCGTAGTCATCTCGGATCAGTGCATGTTCCGTTCTTGGGAGCGAGCGGCAACTTCGTAAACGCAGAGGGCCAGACGCGGATTCCGTGCAGTTGCTTTCGGGGCTGACTTCTACGAATGCATAGTTTGTGTCATTCTGCCGACGGATGCCTCCTTTTCTGCCTCCGTTCCAGCTGTGCTCGGTCCCCTTCCGACCTCGTGAAACTCGATTTCTTCCCAGCATCCAGGCAGGGGCCGACAGAGCGTTGAAGAAGAACTTCACACGCACGGCGCATTCACAGCATGCCCATGTTTTTGGTCCTGACAATGCCAGGCACAAACTGAACATTTTGATCCGACACAAGTCTCAGACGCCGAAAAAAGCCGCAGGCTCATCTGCCCGCTTGATCGACACAAGCAACATGGGCAGGAGCGTTCGGCATCGGAGTTTCGGGAGGCTGACACTATGAATCATGCCCGCCACGACGGGCCTCTTATGTTTCTGCTTGGATGCGAGGCTTCACCAGGGAGGACATTCACGCGCAGGGCGGACCTGCACGACTCAACGTACAAACATGTAGACATTCAGCGTCGATGGTTGGCACTGAGCCTGCCGATGACAAGGGCCAGGATGTTGCCACGAGTTGCGCCCAGAAGAAGCTCGATAATGACAGCGAGTTGCTCGTCGACGGCGCTGATTTGGCCACCGTGGGCAAAGCTAACTGGTTTCGTGCAGACAATCTTGGGCCAGATGCCCGATCCAACCCCACAAGACCCTTCAGCGACCTCCTCTGCGCCGGCCAGCGCGGCCATGACCAGACAGCCAGAGGCGTCGTATCACCGCCCTGCAGGAGAGGTTGCCGACCGCTGAGATCAGGCCACGTAAACCCGAATTTCGCTTAGGCGTGATTGAGGCAAGCATGAAATTGCCCGTCGTGAGCCTGGCTGACGTCTAGAAGGCGCAGCAGGACTCACCTCATTTGGACCTGCCCGACCCTCGCTCTGGCAGAAACGAGGCGACTCTGAAACTGAGGGGGGAAACCAGGATTCGCGGTCCTACTGAGTCTCGCGACCGCTCCAACATGACGACAGCGGCTCCCCTGACCGGCGACCGGTCCATGATGGACGCCGGAGAGGTGGACACGCGGACGGCGCCAGCATTACGACTGCCCGAGGACGACACGCCAAGGAATACATCACCCGCCGACGAGGGCGACCAGAGCTCTGAGCTCGGCTGCTGGGCGCAGGTCAAAGCGGAAACCCATAACGTCGACTCTTTGTGTTCTCTCCACAGCTTTCTGGAACGTATGTCTGCGACCGCATACGGCACCTGCCTCTTCTCAGTTACATTTTCGACCTCGCCCCTTCCAGGGCAGTTTTGGACCAAATCTTCGGCCAAGCCGACCACCTCGACTGACGGCCCCGCCGCTGCGAAACCACTTGGCCTGACACGTCTCTCTGGAGGGTCGTGCGTTCATCCTCTCCCTTCCTCTCCTTCTGCCTTCCGATCCCAATCCCCCATCCCCATTGCGATTGCCGCCCGGAACGCTCCGAACACTTTCCCGAAACCTCCAGCAAGCTGTTCAAAATTCCCGCATACCAGCGAAAGCCGCCGAAGACTTCCGAATGCTTGCGTGAACTTCCTCTCCTCCTTCCCTCCTCCTCCCCCCGAAATCCGCGGGCGCCCTTGGCGGCTTCCAGAGGGGGCTTCATGAGGTGGTTATCAGGGATCTTGATGCCCCCCTCCCTTCCTCCTCGAGTTCCTCCCTCCTACTCCTCTGTCTCCAGCGTTATAGTTGAACAAAGGGGCGCCATCCACAGAGATGCGCCACTCAGGATTTCAGCGATAAGGATTTTCGTTGTCAGGCTTCCGACCATATCACATACCTGCCGTTCAGAAATTAGAAACATGGAAGCCAGGCTAATTCACCTGTGTGGCTCTCTCCTGTTCGCCGTGCACAGTCAGGCTGGGGTCCTTGTCGATACGTGGTTCTGGCCGGAGCGCCGCACGCGTTACATCCGAAAGTTCAAGTTGCACATTCGTTCCATCGTGTTTTTGTCGCAATTGGTGCGTCGCCCGAGCGCCGCGCATACGCTTCAACCTTTGCCAGATTCAAGCAGCTATGGCAATTGAGGACGGGTTCTGTTCAAAGTGTAATTCTCGCTCAAGGTTGAGTTTCACCACCAGGAGTTTGAACATGAACAACAGAAGGAGGTGGCTCCTTCTGAAGACTAGGCTCTTCATTGCTAGATGTTTTAATCCCCCGGGATGTGTAGAATGACTTGCCAGTTTCATTCCAGGGGGCGGTTCCTTGCCATCACGGGGCTCTCGCCGGACATTCCCCCGCATGTATCTAGTGGTTTTGTCTGATACTTGGAGAGGTGGTGGGCGATTCCTTTCCAAAGCGGGTCTCTCACCGATATGGTAGTCTCATGGGGCTCTCGTCGCTCAAGGGGGGCGGTTTCGAAGTTAACGGAAATGCCTGTAGGTGCTGGTAAAAAAAGAGGATTTGGAACGTGCGGGTGTGCTGCCGCATCGTTGACGCACCCAGGGTCCACAAGGTCCTCTTCCCTTCCGCCTCTTTCCCCTCTTCCTCCCCTTCTTCATTCGCCCTTCTCCTCCCTCTCCTCGCGGACCTCCTACCCTGAACTTCTTCTCACCCTAAATATCTCGTCCCCCTGCCCCATCCATGCTCCCTCCTGTTCCTCCTCGTCCTCCTCCCGACCTCCCGACCAGGGCGTGCCACCTCAGGAAAGACGACCCCCAGCCCATGGACTACCACAAGCAGAACTCCGCCATCGCCGCCGCGCGCCGAGCTTTCGGCCTTCCCGTTGGCCTGACGGGGGATCTGGCGCGCCGCGGCGCGGCTGAAGAGACCGTCGCCCTCTCAGGTGACGCTCGCTCCTCCCGACCTCCCAGCGTTTGCCAGCAGAGGGTCCGTCGCCCGCTCCGGCCCCGTGGCGCACCGCGCCACCACCTCGCGGCCAGGCGCGCTCTGAGGGCGGCGTGCCGCCCCACCCCGGCCGCGCCACCGCGCGGGGCGGAGGCGGCAAATGCTCGAAAATTGGAGCCTCTACATTACCAGTGTCGGGCGGTTTTTCCATCCCGAGACTTTCGCGAGGGTCGGAGACGGCGCGGGGGCGGCGCGGTGCATTTTTGCCCCCCCCCCCCCCCCCTTTCCTCAGCGAGCGGAGAAGAATGTATACATCAGGATCCCGCATGCGCCGGGAGCCGCTTCCTCGCGAGATTCAGCGCCAGGCCGGACAACAGGCGTCGGCGCATAAAGTTCGGCCCCCAACCAGCTCTTCCTCCTCCACAACCTCGTGCTTCAAAAACGGCTTCTCCCCCCCAATCCCTGAGCCCCCTGCCCCCCGCTGGCCGCTCAGGAAGGAAAGGAGCGCACGGGCGCGCCCCGGGGGGTCATTCGAAAGCGCCACTATCCAGGATGGGCGCCCCCCGTCGCCCCCACCGTTTCAATCGAAATAGTCGGGGCCCGGGGTCGCCGCGCCCCCCGCTGGCGCTCGCAATTTGGCCTCTAGGCCCCCCCCCCCCCATCGCGCGACTCAGCTCGACGTGTTCTGTTTGTTTCTCGTGAGAGAGAGAGAGAGAGAGAGAGAGAGAGAGAGAGAGAGAGAGAGAGAGAGCGGACAAGTAGGCGGACCAGGGTCCGTCCGCGAGGCGCACTGCAGTGCGACAACTCGCTAAACACTATTTGCGGCGGTGCAGCCTTTAGATACGAGGGCGGGCAACAAAAAAACCCTCCCCCGGCGCAGTGCGACAGACGCTACAGACGGCGGACAGACGGTGATGATCTCACCTGTCAGACCGCGTAAAGAAAGAGGCCCCAACAAGAAAGGCGACGTGCTGACACGTGGCTAGGCGGCTTGGCAGACCGCCAGTTGGGCGCTTGGCCGCAAAGCGGCGCGCAGTGACGGGGCACCCCCCGCCCCCACGCCCTGACACCGTGGACGCGGAGCCACGCGTACTCACGGGCAGGCAGAAAGGAGGAGATTAGCGCGGGGCACCAGGTGGAGCGCCGCGGAACGATGACAGCATAGCTTGGATGGTGAGTGACGGCACGGCACCATCGGGCGAGGGCGTAAGCAGCTCGGCGAAGGCTCGCCCGGCGCTGTGGAGGCGCTGGAGTAGAGGGCCTTGGCGGGCTTGAGCGGCGGCGAGGTCCGCGGCGAGAGCAGCGCACCTCTGCTGGAGAGCGGCCATAGCCTGGGACAGCTCGGTTCCGCGGTCGGTGAGGGGTGGCTGCTCAGTGCCAGCGGCCGCGGGCCTCGTGACAGGGGCGAGGTCCTCGGTACGCCTGACCAGGTGGTGGACTAGCGTAGTACGGCACCCTGTATGCTGTCGTCCGTCACCCTCGAAAGGTGACTGGAGGGGGGCACGCGGCCCCAGGGCTGGAGCCGCTAGGGCCACGCCCCGCGAGGTCGGGAGAGCCGCATCCTCTCGCTCAGCAACGATGGAAACGTGGACGGGGTGCGAGGGCCTGCCTGGTTCGGTGCCCTGCGGGGGGGCTGAAGCCGCCCCCGCGGGCTGCCGCTGGTGGGGGGGCGGAGTGGTTTGCGCGGTGGGACCAATCATGATGCCGTGCGAGGGCTCTGAGGTCAGCCGCGTAGTAGGGTGGCGTCTCGATAGGGCGGCATGGTCGGCAGCGTGGGGTGTCGGCGGTGCGTCGTCTATGCCACTCAGTCCGCGGGGGTCACCCAGGTCGTCGTCGGCGTCTTGGCGGTGACCGATATCATCATATGGGAGCGATGTCGCTCTCGGAGACGGAGTCGCGGTAGGCGTCGAGAGGTTGCCCGACGGGGCAGGGTTGTCGCTGGCTGGGCCGTCGTCCAAGACGTCCAATCCCCCACCGAAGCTGAACGGGTCGTCCTCCTGTTCGTCAGCGTCTTGGAGGTGAGCGGCGTCGTCATGTGGGTGCGGTGCCGCTCTCGGTGGCGGAGTCGAGGGCGTCGTGCGGATGCCCGACGGGGCAAGGTTGGCGCTGGCTGGCCCGTCGCCTAGGAAGTCAAGTCCCCCGCCGAAGCCGAACGGGTCGTCCTCCTGTTCGTCGAATATCGCCCGTTGGGCCTCGGCCCAGAGCTCGTCCGGGTTCTGTGGGATGTCTGGTCCAGCCGCGGGTGGTGCCTGGTCCGACAGCAGGGGGTTTGGTTCCATTTTGTTGAGTTCCGCAGCTGTAAACCCAGCCCTGCGGTGTGGGAGCGGGAGTGTGCGGTGTCTACGCTCGTAGATGGCGACAGCGACCCCATGAAGCACGGTCGCTTGGCGATGTCGTGTTTTGGCAGCTTCGACAATGTCGTCTGGAAGGTTGTGAGTGCGTGCCGCCGTTGTGGCGAGGGCGTCAGCCTGACGATTGAACTCCTCCGCAATGGGCCCGATGAGCCCGAGGTCGATGCCCATGTCTCCCAGGTGGCTTGCGATTTTCTCGACGCGGAACATGTTGGGCTTGGCCATAACGCATCGGTGGATCTTTTCCCAGAGCTCCACGTGCGTGCCCTGCGGTGCTGAGTGTCCGTCGATGATGCTTTGGAACCCATCGACCACCGCCTGGTTGTCCACGAAAACGTGCACGGGCCGTTCAGCACATGCCGTGAGGTGGACAATGGCGAGGGTCTCCGCAAGCTGGGCGTTCTGCGTAATGCCGTGAACGCGTGCACTGTAGTTCATGCGGTGGTCGATGCCGTAGTAGACGCCGTAGCCCGCTCGTGCTAGCAATGGGATGGCTTGGTTGGTGCATGCACCGTCCGTGGCAGCGTAGACCCATGTCCAACCAGTGTCGTGGTCAAGGTAGGTGGTGTAGGAGTCCTGGGCTGAAGCCGCAGGATCTCCCTCAGGGGGGGGCCGCGGTATGGGCTGAGGTAGCGGGTCCCTCGCGAGGTCGGCCTGCAGGTCGAGGAGGGCTGGGTCTTCATCGAAGAGCCCGCAGTGTCTTGTGTGCGGCGGAAGACGGGCCCACTGCTCGTCACTGATGAGGGTGGTGAGAGGGAGTCTTTCTCGGGCCCAGCACTTGCAGTCGCGGACAGTGTGCTCCTGAGTTTCCTCTTCCTCGTCGCAGTATCGGCAGATGGGGCTGGGGTCAGCTGACGTGTTTGATCGGGATCGTCGCTGTTGGGTGTGGTCCCCGCCCGACAGGTAGTTCAGGAGGAGCGCCAGCTGCCAGGCAGTGCATTTGGCTGCTCCTTTCGTTCGGGCGAGCCACGTGCTGGCGAAGAGGTCGAGGCCCTGTCTGACAGAGGCAAGGTATCCAAGGTCGTGACGCCGTGGCTTGATCCTCCTCAGAAAGGCTCTGCGTTGTGAGGCCCGCAGCATGTGAAGGAAGGCGTTTTGGGGTAAGTTCAGCCAGCTGATCTGGCAGCCCCAGTCGTCGCACATGATGCCAAATGTGGGCCAGGTCCAACGGAGCTGCTGGAGCGACTGGACGAGTCGTCCGACAGGTCCTCCACCAAACAGGGTCTGGACGTGGTGTTGGAGATCTCTGGCGAGACCGCAGAGTGTAACGTCGCGGTTAACCTGTCGCCGCAGGCACAGGAAAGCTTCACGCTGCGTGATGGCGTCAATCTCCAGGGCGTGTCCTGGGACGCACACGGCCATGAGAGTCCAGAACTCGACCCACTTGTTCCCCTTGGGGCGGATAGCCGCCTTGAGGGCGTGGTTGTAGGCAGTTTTGGCTGGGCCTGATGGTGCTTGAATGTCGGTGCCCGTGGTGCAGACGCTGGCAGCAAGGGAACGGGCGTGCCGCGCCTTGATAAGCATCGGCGATGGGAGCTTGCCAATGCGCGGCAGGCGACTAGTCGCCCTCCGTACACGGGCGTCAGCGGTGGCCGTGAGGTTAAGCGCGGCTGGAGCCGGCGCTGCCTCGGCGTTGATGTAACTCCCGACGAGCTTGAAGGAGTCGACCACGCGTAAGGGCCGTTCCGCCAGAGTGAGCTGGGTAACGGCGGCGTGAAGCTCGTCGGTGAGCGCCCACCCCGCCACTTTGCCAGGGTGAATGCGTTGACCTGAGAATCGATCAAACTTGGCGGTTTCGTCAAGAGATTTCTGCAGCTCAGACGCGGTGTGGGTAGTGGAGTTGCTGTCGTCAACAAAGGTAGTGCTGAGTGATCGAGGAACGTATCGATGCTGTCT